CTGCAGTTTTAGCAAGCATGCTGTAGTTCGGATAACCGCCCACAAAAAGCTCCTCATTCAGATCCAGGCCCTTGAATTTTCCCTGCTCAGACACAGAACATGTTATACTACATTTGTTTAACTACCACGATACTACCAATTAACACAGTTTATTAATAAGCATAACAAAGCAGCATATTATGGAGAGAGGAATATGCACCTGTGAGGTCCCATTTATAGGAGCTTCTCCATCCACAACAAGAGAGCCCTGAGTCTGATTCCTATAGAGCTTCACTGTGTGAAACTCGCCCAGTTTAATGGGAGTAGGGTGACGAATAGTTGCCATACCAGAGCCCACATCAAACCTGTGGAAGGAAAATAAGCACGTTTGGAACGTCACATCAAAAACCCAAAGTTAAATCCAGTTTCAGACACAACATTTTGCATCCTTGAGATTGCTTTGATATTGACGTTTAATGTACCTGAATTCAGGACGGCCACCCACCAACCCAAAAGATATGAAATCAGCACCGGTGGTCTTCCTTTGTCCATTATAAAGAATCATACCTGGACACGAAGGAAAAAGTAAATCCAATGCCAGCATTCAGCTTACTTAACCAAACAGCTCGCCAGTGCACAAAGCCATTTTCTCTCTTTTTAAGCTGAAGGTAAAGCAGCATGCTGAGGGAAAATCTGCTGCCATGTTCAGCATTTTGCAAGCCACATGCCATGACTGGTACTGGTACTGTGTTGGATCACTGCTTGATGTCCAATATAAGATCCTGAAAAAAAACTTTTTGAGAACCACTGGTATAGAATATGCCCTCTAGGTTAGTCACTTTAATCAAGCTTGTCGAAACATAACCCTCAGTTTTTTTTCATGTATGGATGCACAATATATGGGTTATGGGCAGATATTAGAAATGTTACACTTATTGGTAGGGCTGCACGATTTGGGGGGAAAAGTTCATTGGAATTTTTCTGATAAAAACTGTGATTGCAATTTTAAATAGAAATCCTGGTTTGCTGTGCTTGTTTGTATACGGCTGCACAATTTAGTCAAAACTTTGTGATGATATAACATGGATATAAAACAACAATAACAATAATATTTGTATATTTTTATTTAGGAATAATAATAATACTTACTACTAAATATAAAAAAACTAAAATATTACTATTATAAAAATTTAGTATTTATTTTACATTAAACTGTAAGTGCGCAATACTAACATTTATGGTTGTAACGTTAAACCATTAAACTTTTATTTTGACAGAAAACTGCAGAGAACTCTTAAAGCTTCTCTTTAAAATGACTGATTTTAATTTGGAGTATTTTTATTATTTATTTAAAAAAAAAAGTGTATAACTGTCATGACAGGGTGTAAAAGCTTCAGTCGCTCCATGATAACATTCCTGTATCATGCTGCAACCAACTCAGTGCCTCGATGAACACTATAATCTATTGTCATGTCTGCATATGTTAATAAGGGCCCTTCTAAAGGGGCCAGTGAGAGATGCTGAGCTGCACTGCTCCATGCCATTAAAACATCTTGCAGCATGTGCTCTCTGGTACTCTCAGGCAAGCAAGCAGACTCACCGGCATACAAAATGAGCCCTTCATACCAAAGAGATGTGAAGGAGGGCAAAAAACAAAAAGAATAATTGAGTTTACATACAGGAATACACATATAAAAGAAACTGTACAAGGACTGAACATTTTAGAAACAGTGTGCTCTTCACATAGTACATGTAATACTGCCAATTTATTTTAAACGGACAGTTCAGATAAAAATTTCAATTCTGTCATCATTAACTGCAACTCATGTTTCACACCTGTATGACTTTCTTTCTTCTGAGGAACAAACAATTAGACATTCTGAAGAAAAAACAGGTGATTTCCATTCAATGAGGAAATTAATATGGAATCAATATGGAACGAGTCAATATGGAAAAGACCTGCGAGAAGATTCTTCAAAATATCACATTTTCTGTTGCACAGAAGAAAGCAAGTCATACAAGTTTCAAACAAAATTAGAGTGAGTATATAATAACAATTTTCATTTTTGGGTGAAATGTCCACTTCAAAAGGATAAAAATTCCTTTTTTCTCCAGTAATGACAAACTTATAAACAAAGTCAAAACTGCATATTTAGAACTGCTTTGGTTCAGTGAAGTATCTGGAAGTTTTGAGGGTACTTACCATCAACAATGTCCGGCCTGAAGGTAATTTTGATGCTGAATGCTTTGTAGGGGTTTTTGATAGTGGGGAGTGTGAGGTACGAGAGTGGTTCCTGGGTAAAATAGGGCATCACTCTCTCTGGAGGACCACATGAACATGAATGAATGTTAGAGAGACAAGTAGGACATCACAGAAACTCTTCAGAAGAATAAACAGCTCATGAAAAACATGTCTTGGTGGTGGTAGCATTAGAGTTAAGGATGTTTCCAAATCTCCAAGCTGTAAGACATCTAAAAAGCAGCATTTCGTAAGTCACTTTAGATAAAAAAAAATCTGTTGACATTTAACCAGATCCTGTGTGGATTTTTTAAGCAGAACTATACTTGTCAAACAATCCAGATGAAATCAGTGCACTCATCACAAAGTCACAATCACAGACAAGCAGCATTGTGACTTGACCTACACTGGAAAAAAATATGTAACTACAAACAGAACGGACTTGCATACAGACCATGAACAACGAGTCTGGTGAAGGCCTCAACTTTCCCTTGCTTATTAGCAGCTGTACATGCATACGTTCCTGCATCTGAGTGTGTGACACCAGGGACTGTCAGGACATGTCCATCTTGTCTGCACTTAGGGGGTAACTCATTCTCCACCTGAAAGAAGAGCACAAACGAGCTTAACATTTATTTTCTGAAGTGCATATTTAGTTCTCTAAACAGGACTGAAAACTGTAATATGCTGCTGTGTGAACATATAGTACCATAGAATGTTGGCCTTCTGAATTAGGGCAAATTTAGCCATGAAACATAAAGGTTACCTTTGACCATGTGATGGTTGGGACTGGGTATCCAGACGCAATGCAAGGCAAGACCGCATCAGAGCCAACTGTTACTTCCTTTGACTCAGGCTGTGCAGAAATCTGAGGCAAGGCTACAAAGTACATCATTTTTAGGAATCAAATGTCAGTTATATTTATGAGACTCCATTTGTAGAAGACTTTGAGCTTGACATCTTTAAGGTGTCACATAATACAAATAAAAACCAATGGCAAAAAAATCCGTCCTGGATATAACAATGTACTCACACTGGATATTAAGGACCACCTGGTTATACTCCGAGCCAACATTATTAGTGGCGGTGCAGCGGTACTGTCCTGAATCTGATTCGACCACATGATCTATCCTCAGGATGTTCCCCCTTATTTCCACATGATCTGGAAGAGAGACTCCCATTTTACTCCAGCGCACCGTGGGCTCAGGATCACCGATCGCATGACACTCAAACTCCACTGAGTTGCCCACCATCACCGTCTGTACTGATGTGCGCACGTTGATCATCACTTTGGGTAGAGCTGCGAAGCCAAAGAACACAGTCATTAGTTTTAAAGTTTAGTAACTCAAGATTTGGAAACAAATTGCAATTTGGATATCATAAGGGACCTTGAATGGTGAGTTTGCCACTGTCCTGAGCCTGTCCAAACAGACTTGTAGCTCTGCAGGTGTAGATTCCCTCATTGCTTTGCTCAAGGTTCTCGATCCTGCACAAATAATAACAAAGATTATGAAGGAAGGACACACAGCATAACTCAAAGAATTGGGGGCACAAATATTATGTATTTTATTATAAAAAAAGTAGTATGCATCAGAGAACATTATTTAACTGAAATACAACTTATAAATAATTCATTGTAGTAAAATATATGTAATTGAATTCCATTACTATATAAGTTTGTGTAAGAAAAATGAATAAAAAAATATTTTTATTCATGTTAAGCGAAATATACACTATAGTAGAAAAGTTTGTGATCGGTAAGATTTTTCAGAAAGAAATTAATCGTTTTAATTCAGCAAGGACATTCTGAATTGATCAAAAGGTGACAGTAAAGAATTGTATACATGTATCTTTCTTTTTTATTCTATTTTGAAATAAATGCTGTTCTTGTGAACTTTCTTTTCATCAAAGAATCCTGACAAATCACAGTTCCGCAACACATTATCACAGTATTTGCAAACATATTAAGCAGCACAACTGTTTTCAACATTGATAAGAATGAGAAATATTTCTTGAGCATCAAATCAGCATATTAGAATAATTAGAACATTTTAATTTTATTTCACAATAGTTCTCTTTTTAGTCTATTTTTGATTAATTAAATGCAGTCTTGGTGAGCATAAGAAACTTCTTTCAAAAACATT